TCAAGATGCCTGGCTGCAGACTTCATGTTCTCCTGACTCTGCGGCCCACAACGCCTGAGTGTGGACGACAGGGACAAAAAAGAACATTAAAAACCATTTCCTCAAAACCTCTCCAAGGGGAGGGACATGAAAACTGGGGAAATTACCAGAAGCCTTTTAAACTCCCCCCACCCCGAAGTTTTCCTGAGCAAATTGGCTGGTCCGTTATTCAGTGTGTAGGCAAAGAGAGGAATGACTCAGTTTTGGACTGCAGACTCAGGCAGACACGGCGGAGCATTCTGACCCGGAAATGAACCGAGGAGGCTTCTTGCAGGGACTGAAAGGGCATCACCTACCTTATTTGTAGATCACCCTGGTCCTGGTTTAGCAGTTAGGAGACAGAAGGCGAAGCCCAGTGGCAGGTTTTTGTTGTTGTTGTTTGCTTTTTGTTGTTGTTTTTTTAGAGGGCTCAAGCCTACACCTTCTCAACTACAATTATAGGGTCGGCCCCAAGCTAGAGTGACTTTCCTGGTCAAGGGTGAATCCATTTTAACAAGTAAGTAAGTAAGCAAGTACATAAGTAAATAAGAAAATAAATAAATAGACAGGCCAAGGTAGAAGTGTGCAGAATGAGGGATCCTCTACCTCTGGTAGGTGTCTGCCTTTGCTGCAGGTACACACAAACACCCTCCCCCTTCACATCAACCTGTCAATCACCCTTTTTTCTCTGCACTAGAATGCTTTCCTCACATAGGCAGCCTACAAGGAAAACTAATCACCAACATTAATTGGTCTCTATGAGAATTTCCAGCACACTGTTCCTTATTAATACTTGAGTAAACAGAAGGAAAAATAGAGGAGGCGCCTGTCTTAGTTAGGGTTTCTATTGCCATGGTGAAACGATATGACCAAAGGCGAGGTGAGGAGGAAGGGGTTTATTCAGCTCACACCCCCACAGCACTGCCCATCATCAAAGGAGTCAGGACAGGAACTGAAACAGGGCAGGAACCTGGAGGCAGGAGCCCATGCAGAGGCCGTGGAGAGAAGTGCTGCTCACTGGCTTGCTCAGCCTGCTTTCTTAAAGACCCCAGGACCACCAGCCCAGGGATGGCCTCAGTCACAGTGGGCTGGGCCCTCTCCCATGAGTCACTAATTAATTACAGCTGGATCTTATGGAGGCATTTTCCTGATTGAGGCCCCTCCTCTAGATGACTCTCGATTGTGTCAAGGTGACATCAAACTGTCCACTGTAGCATCCTGTCATGCTGGTGGACATTGGAGCCATTCATCTCAGCAAAAATCTAAGTCAACGGGTCAGTAGGTCCCTGGAGTAGAAAGGTCATTTTGAGGCAGAGGACTGAATTCAAAGGATCCGTATCTGGCCACCTGGCTGAGAGGGGGCCACGTTAAGAAGAAGGTCTCCTGTTTCCATGTGATGCTGTGTCAGAGGACTTACTCTTCCAGCTAACGGGTCACATGAGATTTGATTTAGACGGTGAGATGATCAGTGTTGTGTGGCTCCCGGAACCCGCACTGTGTGTGTGTGCAGGCAGAAGTTGGTACAGGTGGGGCTCCGGTCCCTCGCATCTGACTGTTGGAGTCTCAAAGCTTTGGGGGGGGGGGGCTTTCTCTTGCCATTGGAGAGCGAGAGTGCATAAGTCCAAAACACCAAACTCCCCAGAGAAAGTAAGGGACCCCTCCATTACAGGAGACTTCCTGACACAACAGCAACTTCCCATTGTACGAAACAGTCCCCACCACACTCGTGTCCGGCCAGCAGGGAACCAAATGGGGGGTGGGGTGGAGTTTTCGGGTAGTTTAGAAAAGCATGATGGTTAGCTTCCCCGCTGTTCACACCCTAAGCCAGGGTGTCTGCAGGGCGAAGGGTTTCAAAACGGCCCACAGGACTCAATCTTTGCCCAACTTTATTACATATTCCAGTTCTGCAGGCCTGCTATACACTTTCCTGCTGCTCTGATTAACACCCGACCAAGGTAACTTGCAGAAGAAAGGGTTTGTTTGGGCTTATGGTTCCAGAGGGAGAGTCTGTATGGTGAGGGAGTCATGGCAACAGGCGGCCAGAGCAGGAAACTGTGAGGTCACATCTTCAACCACAAATGTCAAGCAGAGAGAACACACAGTGGGGCAAAGCCACAGACTCTCCATGTCCACCTCAGAGGACATCCTCCAGCAAGGCTGCACCCCCTAAAGGCTCCATAACAGCAGCCAGATACCAGAGTGGGTAGGGGGTGTTTCTCTGTGTTTCACTGTGAACCTTGACCTTGGCAGCAAGGATGAGCAGCTTTTGGCCAGATGAAGCCAGCCCTGTATCCAACCTGAGCTGTTCAACTTCCAAATTACATTAGTCCTCTCACATTATTTGTTCATGAGCATCATCATCAGGAAAGGGGGAGTATTCAGGAAATATCGAGCAGAGAGTGCTGAGGACTGCTGTGTACCGCGTGCCTGGCCTCGTCAGGTGGTTAAGGGATGCCCTAATTCAAAGCGGGAGTAGCCCTGAGGTTACTGTCTAGCTGGTAGAGGGATCTTCAGCACCAGGATAGGGAATGGGCTTTTCTTGGATGTTCTACGGGCTTTTCTTGGATGTTCTACAGGCTTTTCTTGGATGCTCTACAGAAACTCTTTCTACTGCACTTCAATCAAACACAGCATCTCAGGAAATCTTTTTCTCTCCCTTTAATCTCCATGCAAGCCACTTAAATGTACTAAACGCTGCTAATTCCTGCACTGAACCCTTTCCCATCGTTGGGAAAGGTAAGAACCCTAAGTGCCTGAGCTCAGCATCTGGTCTGCTGATTTGTGAGTTTCTTCATTGCATGATCTGGAGTGGGTACTTTTTGCTCACAAATCTTATGCCAGAAGCTCAAAAGGAAACCAGAGGGAATGGTGTATGCTCTGCAACCCAGTACAAAGAACAGAGAAAGGAACTCTGGATGCTAAGTTGGCTCAGGCCAAATAGCTTGCTCAAGTTTGCCATAGGGAAAACAACAAATTGGGAGGCCTTTTACACAGTTACCCATCTGGCACATGAGCTTTGGAGTTGTCTGTAATTCGAGGAACTGTACTGGGTTTTGCACACCCAGTACAATCCCCGTCACGAAGGGGCTTGGTGAGAAGTGGAGGTCTCTTCTGCTGCCTGATGCTGGTACAAATCATTGTGAAAGCCAACACCTGTGCAACAGAACCAGGGTGTCCCTGCCATGCCAAGCTTGACCTAAGGGCTTCCCCACAAGAGCCTAGGTGATGAGCTTCTCCTGTGTGGGGATCCTAGAACAGTAAGCCTTTTTCTCAATGGCATTCACCATTCACTGACATTTATAAACTAAGACTGGAGGACAGTTCAGAGAGGACAGCCCCCATCTTGGTCGACTACAATGGTGGCATTTCTTTAACTTTTGTGCTACTGAAATATTCCAATTACCAGATTCCCCTCAGAGCACCCAGCGAGTACTGGTCCAGTCCGGCACAGTGTGGAGCTGAGGTGTGTAACAGGCAGGCGGCAGTCACACCACATTCCCTGCGGTGTTGAATCCCCCAAACTCGGGCTGTTCTCCTTGCACCATTGTTGCTTGGGCTTTTCCGTAAGAACACTGAGGACGAGAAGACCAAAGAGGCTGACGGAATCTGATGAGCAACAGAGTGGTTCTGAGTCCAAGGACAAAACAAGTTATAGAACCTAACGAGCCAGCAGGCAGAAGCAAAGCCTTCCAAACACTAACTCCTCACAGACACAAGAGTCCTGGAGACCTTTGCTCACATTAGCTAGACACTTCCAAATGGAAGGAGTTGAGAGACCAAAAAGATTAAAAATTAGCAGCTATTAGTTAAGGCCTGGGAGGAGAAGTCTAGTAATGCCCTGAGGGGAAGGACAGCCTTACTGCATTCTTTCCCCACCTACTAGAGATAGCAGTTGCTAGGAAACTGGCCCATCCCTCTAGGGAGGGACACCAGGTCATTATAGTCTGGGGACCTTCCTATAGCCAATCAATTCAAAATGTAGCATTTTGACCAATAGATGCTTGCCAGGCAGGAATTGCCCCTGCCTTGGGCATGCTGGGAGGGACCAGAATCTATAAATCACCCAACTAACCTGGGGACGGTGCGCTCAGCTCCCACCGCTCCAGCGGTGGGGCTGTGCAGGCCCAAGCTGCAGCTTGTAATTTACAATAAAAAGACCCTCATGTGTTTTGCAATGGAGTCGATTCCTGTAGATCTTTTGGGGGCTCGCGAACTGGGTATAACAGGAGTCACATGCAAAATTCTATTTGTTTTTAAAAAAAAATACAAAAGAGAATAAATGAAAAACTATGAACTTCTTATGTGGTCAGACGATGTCATAAATGACAAGCAGGGCTGACATCTTAATGCATGAATCGACCTGCTGGGAAGTGCTTTTAGCCCTTAAAGGTGACATCGAAGATTCATAGGAAATGAGATGGGTGTATTCTAAGTCCCATGGTGAAGCTGAGTTCTGTTACTGAAAAAAAAAAACAAACCAAAACAACAATAAAATACATTATCACTGTGATCATGATGCCTTTCTAATAAAGTGCTGGCTGGGCTCATCAACCATCAACATCTTGCATCATAAAATATACATTTAAACTAGAGCCCCACACAGCGTGAGTGAACAAAGCAAAGTGTGTCACAGATTTGCTCAGCAGGGTCTTGTCAGGCAGGAGGCTCACCTGCAGACTAAGCTGCCGGCTGTGTCTGCACCAGCTGCTCAGGACAGCAGGAACATCTGGGTTATTCCAACTGATATCCCCAGCATGCATTGCCGGTTGGGGGTGACACCGGTCACTATCTGATAGAAAACCCCTAGCTGGATAAAGATAGAACTTTTTTAAAATACAAGTTTGGCTGTATGTTTGATCCCAGTGACCACGCAGTCTTAACTGATTGTTGATACTTTTCTGGCGTGCTTGTGAATACAGAGTCTCAAAACACCGGCAATTCTCAGACTTTTCTATATGCAAGATGCATCTCCTTGTGTTTTTACATTCATTTAATCACAACATGCAGTTTATAACACCTGGAACCACAGCAGGACACGAAACACAAGCGCAGCTCCTGCCCAGGAATTACTGTCTCCTGGGTAAGGACTGGACAGTGATTCAACCCCTTAATTTTGCAAACAAGTTCACAGCAACACACAAGTCCATTTTTGGCTTGCTTGTATCCTGGCAGGTCTGTTTGCACGTTTAAACATGGTTCCCACTTCCTGTCTAGCCACTGGCACACACATTCTCTGTCCATCATGTCAAGATGCTGGCTAGGAATGCAAGTGCCTTTGACACCTCAGTCACACGCCAACCTACCGTGTGTGCGCCCCTTGATGGTAGTGAGCTATGCTCTTGAAGCATCTGCTTCGAAGAGACTCACAGGTTTCCCAGCTTCACCTGGCACTTGAACTTCAGGTCAGTCTTGTGCAGCGTCAGGGCCCAGCAGGCAGACTTCTAATATCTGAGAAAGTCAGCATTTGGCAAATGTGCCACTATCACCTGACTGACACGACTTTACAAAGTGAGGTGAAGAGGATGGGTACTTGGTAGTGCCCGGGACTCAAGGGCACAGGGACTTCCAGCAGCCTTAACGGAGAGGAAAATCAGTTCTCTCTGTCTGCGCTGTTAGCCAGCTCTTGGCCTGTTCATCTTAGGAGTGATGATGACTAACACCGCCGAATGGCAAGCAGACGCTCTTTCAAGGAGGCCATGCTGAGATTGGCCAGCTGAGCCTTTTGTTCCAACGGCAACCCGCCGAACCCATCAGGACCAGGCAGGGCCACTGGAGTTGCTCTGGAAGACATGAGGGGGAAGCAAACTTAATTCCTACAACACAGACCGTGCCCTGATTCAGTCTTCTGTTTAACCAAAGGACACAAAGGGAGGAACTTGCCAAGAGAATCTCACTCCACAGGGACACTCTGCGAATTAGCGGCCTCTGCTCTCCCAAGCCTCCATCAGAAAGAAAGGTCATAAATTTTACTGCCAGGTGCCGGCGTTGTACGCTATTGCTTTTCAAGTTCTAAGTGGGTTTGCTAAAGCATAAAGGTATAAAGGCCAAATGCAAGTCTGGATGGCATGAGAAAGTGGATCTTGAACCCGGTGTGGCAAAGTGTGTGTAGCGCACGAATGCACACAGCCCTCTATGTGTAACTGTCCACAGATAATGCGTGCACGCTCTGTTCAGGTGCCTCGGGCCTACACACATGCTAGCCCTCACCGCACACACTCCAACAAGCATCTCGGACCGAGCTCTAGGCAAAAGCTGCCTCTCCCCCCATTTCTGTTCTCCTGATGCTGGAATGAAGACAGCCAGGCCTGTCTGCTTACAAGTCTTGAATTTTCCCCTGTTCCCTTTAAAGAGGTGCCAACCAGGGGCTATGGAGAATGGACTTCAGTGGCTTTAGAGCTGGATAATTTCCCTGGAGGGTTAGAGGTAACCCATCAGCGAAAGCTCCAAGGGGTATCTCACGTCACTGCCGAGAAGATCCTGGCCTGGCCTGCAGAGGCAACCCATAACCCGGATGCTGGAGACACACCACGGAGCACAAACTCACCCCTTCCCCTATCCCTCTGGGCAGAAAAAAGAGACGGCACGCTTAGTGAGAAGCCCCTCACAGAAAACATCCTCCCGTAACTAAAATCCTTGTTATTGGCAGAATAATGGTCTCCAAGGACCTCAGCATCTAATTCCTTAGTCCTGTGACTGTGTCACTGTATGTGGTAACGGGGGCCTCTGAGGATGTGACCCAGTTATTACAACCGGGAGCTCGTCCTAGGGGACCAAGGCAGCCACACGACAGGGCTGTGACTCCGAAGAAAGGGCTGGAACTGGAGCCAACAATGCCGGCAGCCCAGTGTCTCCTCCAACCACCAGAGGGCGACGTGTGCTGCCATTGCTAGGCCAAGGGAAACACCTGATGGCTTCCCACCAGCACAACCTAGAGAGTGAACGGCTTTGCCAGAGCCACCAAGGCAGTGACACGATAGTGTCACAGCAGCGATAGGAAGCAGGTCCACCCACCAATCAGAGATTAATTTGAGTTGATTACTGTCTGCTTTCCATTTTCAGTCTGAGGTACAGTAGGGTGGGAAAAGGGGTAAGTAAGAAGGGGAGGGACTTACAAGCGATTTTCCACCCAAAATTCGGGCTTCCTAAACTTCTTCCACTCAAGACATTTTTAAAGAAGGATTTTTTTTTTTTTTTTTAGAACTCTGGGCACAGAGGTACTCTACACCCACTAATATGGAGGGAACATTTGCTACTAATAAAGCATAAATACACTTATTCTTAAACAATTCTCTTATATACATATGATGGTGCCATTTACTCAAGATTAGAGTAAATTCAACCCTAATTAGAGAGATTTGGTTGCTGATTTTTACCAAAAATAAACCGGGCTTCATGTGTAACTGTGCAGGACAGGCAGCATGGGAAAGGTTTTCCAGAACCAAATGCTGTCCTGAACTTCCATAGCGACCGATGCTCAGGATGCCACTTTCATATAAACACAACATGGGTGGGGTCATTTCAGAGAGGGCTGGCAATCCTCCTGCTTTAATCCAAAGGCAGAATTTACTTATAGATATTTGAAAAATGAAACCCTGACCAGCAACTGTCCTGGTTAGCTTCAGCTGTCACCAGGACACAGCCCTGAGTCATCTGAGGGAGAGATTATCTAAATCAGACTGGTCATGTCTAGGAAGAACTGTCTTGAGTGTTAGTTGATGCAGTCGGGCCCAGCCCACTGTGGGTGGCGCCGTCCCTAGACAGCCTGGATTATATAAAAAAAAGCAGCTGAGCAAGTCAGCGGGAGTGTCCCTCCAAGGCTCTTCAGCCCCTGCTGGAGGAGTTCCTGCCTTGGTTTCCCTCAGCGGTGGGTTGTTACCTGAAAGTGTAAGCCAAATACGCCCTTCCCTCCAAAGTTTCTTTTGGTCAGAGTATTTCATAAAGCAACAGAAAAGAAACCAGAACAGCAACTTAAACAATTTTTAAAATTAAACATTTCTAGTAACTCTAACCCAAACATACACTGGTTTGTTAGAGACCGAGAGTGTCAGTGGGGAAAGCATTGCGTCCTTGTTTATGCAAATGAAACCACGAACCGTTGTCAAAGTAAGGAGAAACACTGCCAGACATAACAGACACAATCGTGCACCTCGAGCACTGTGTGGCGTGCCAGCACGGGCAGGGAAGAGCAAACACTGTGTGCTCAGAGCCCAGGCTGCCATGAAGTCCTACCCCACAGCACAGCCAAGGATGCCAAACACATTCACCACACACCACACACTTAATTTAGAATTAGGTTTTGGCCGTTGTGCGCTCAAAGCTTTACTGTTGGAAAAGGTGTCTCAGCCCTCGAGTTTGTTTACGTGATGCCGTGTGGAGCTGCAGCGCATGTTTGAGGGGATTAGCTCACTCTCCTGAGTCTGAGAAGCTGCACGGCAGCAGTGGGTAGGAGGGAGATGCACACAAGAGCCAGGGATGGAAATGGCGGAGGAAAGACAAAGCACGTTCCACTTTGCCGAAAGTCTGTCCTTCCTCTAAAATACACGACTTCTGCAGTTCTAAGGCTTCCAAATTAATGATGACTGCAGGCTTTTCTCCGCCCGTAGTCAGTACCCTGCTTGGTATGAGCAAGGCAGTGTTAAATGTAGAACCGTGCTCTTGCCAACGGAACTGTTTTTGTTTTGATCTTCACGAGTGGCTAGAAAACATCTATTTATTTATTTATTCTGCTCCAGAAGGCACAGTGGATCGTGTGTGCTGTGATCATGAGGACTCTCTCTGAGCAGCTTGCACATGAGCGGTTCACACTCACGATGGAGCTCAGGGCTGGGCTGCTGAGTGTCCCATCGGAACGGGGAGCCATATCACCTCACTGCAGGAAACAGCAGCATTATGAGAGAAAGAAGGAACGCCCACCTGCAGCTCAGGCTCCCTGTCTGGCATGGACCCGAAATGGCTTAGGATTTGCTTTTTCACGTGATCCTGGAGAGAAGCAAACCAGGAGACAGACTGCTGGTAAACGGAATCATGGAGGGAAGCGAGTTCTTCATACTCTGGACCTCCCACCTGGCCAGAGAGGAGAGAAGGACATTTCAGCAGTTCAGGCAGACGTAGGCCTCCACACACCCGTGACCTCTGACAGCTGAATGGGTTTAATCATTCACTAATTCACTAATTTCACAAAATGACATGTTCAATATAGAAATTTTTGTGCTTTCTATCATGTGTGAGATCTACTGGTTGCATCCTGGCTTTCCTCTTAAGACTTTGTGGTAAGGATATATCCAATGTTATAAGTAATTTTCCATGGGTACAAATTGCATATCTGATATATCATAAGTTATTTAGTCATATACATAAGATGTATTTTGGATATCCCGACATTTTAAAAATGTCAGCAATATAAATGTGCATGCAAAGGAACCAGCAAGGTGGTGTAGTGAGCAAGAAGGAGCAGAGCCAACCCTGATGACCTCGGCCTGAGCCGCAGAACCCACCTGGTGGAAGAACAGCCTCCTGTAAGCTGTGCTCTGACCTCCTCACGCACACTGTGGTGTGCGGTGCGTGCAGACAGGCCCACACACAGAAGTACAAATAAGTACGTATAAACAAGAGAATTTCTTGTTAGGTATTATTTTCTCTGGATGCTCTCCCAGGAAGTGAGAGGCTGGCACCTTACCACCTGTTTTCCTGTTGCCGAAGCGCACTCCAGACATGGCGGAGCAGCACAACAGCCACACTCAGCCACGCTGCCGTGTGCCGGGCCTGGCTTCTGGACCGCCTCACTGGCCAGCCTATCACTTAGCTCTCCCTCAGCCCTGCTCAGGCCGGCCTGGCAGAGCAGGGGTGCACAGGCCTGCCAGCTGCGGCCGGGCTTGCCTTGGCTTTATCGCTGGCCCTCACGTGTGCCTCGTCAGTCAGGATCACAGCCGGAATTACAGGCAGACCAAGCCATGCAGGTCTCGCCTGGATAGACAACCCCAGCAGCTACAAACCCCACAGAACTTGTAACAGCATGGAAGGATGGCCAAGGATAAAATAAACATTACTAAGCCACACCTTCATATTAGCTGCAGCATGATTCCTTATATGTCCACAGATATTTTGCAACTAACATTTTTTTCCTATTTAAAGACTAGAAAAGTCCTTTTATGAGAAACCCAAAATCTAAGACAATGCTCGGCCCATGTCAACAAAGAATTTCCTCATTATTCTGCGCCAAGGACCAACTTCACGTGACATAAGCACTTACTTTGACAGTTCTGACCTTTCCTCATCATAAATCCTCTTCCCGTCACTCAGCTCATCCAATAAATACCGAAATATCAGTTCTTCAGCCAGAACAGTTACATTAAGATTTCTGGTTGGCAACAACTATAACAAAAAAAGTTAGATGATGGTGAACGGATTTGTGCCGGGCCGGAGAGGAAGGCTTGGCTGGCGTTTGTTGTCTGGGTGACCAGCTCTCGCTGGCCACACGATGAACACTGGAGGCTCAAAGTCTTTGCCCTCAAGGGGCTTATATTTAGGGAACCTCCAGGATGTTTCCTTGCCCTCTCTTCTCTCTCTCTCTTTAGCACACAGTGATGGGTATTTAATGATCTTTTTATCCACATTCATCCTGTGCCAGATTTTGTTTCTTCACACAGCCCCTCCCAGGACAGCGGAAAAAGTGCAGACAAGGCTTGCGTTACAAATGGCCACCGGGCTTGCTTTGCATTTGACAAGCATGGCGGAGCCATGTCCAGGCCCCTGGGCCCCAGGAACAGGGCGCATGGTGAGCAGGGTAGATGTGCCTGTCGGGAAGGGACTGTAACAGCGAGGGGAGGACTACAGAGATCGTCCCGGGTGAACCAGTGCGCATGCTCAGAATGGGTCCATGCTCATCGCGCGTGTGCGTAGCCCGACCCTGATAACCATCCTGTGACCCCTGAAAATTTTAGAAGGATGCAATGTGTACGCAATTTAATAGTACGAGTGCACCATGTCACTTGATACCGCAAGTATGCGCGCACGTTTTAGAAAGGCTCTGACGTGTGGCTTATCTGAAGATGCTTTGGCAGTCAGTCAAACACTTACAATCGCTTTAAACTTTGCTTAACTTTGACACCCTCTTGCCATGTCAGATTTTTTAAAAGTTAATTTAGGCTCGGGGGTGAGTCTCAGCGTGTGTGCTTAGTGCTAGAGGGAGAGAGCGGGAAGGAGAGAAGCACGTTACCCTAGAGATTGCATGTTGCCTGTTTCTGGAAGATAACTAAAACAAGGATCGCCAGTCTGAACATGAGGATGAGGGAGAAGCGCTTGCTCCCTACCAGAGGCTGAAGAATTTGCCTCGTGGAGAGGGAGAGGGAACACGCAGCTCTGCCGTGCCGTCACTCCGCCTGACTTGTCTGTACACTCCATGCACGGGGACTCAGGAGTTATATTTGGACAAATATCAACAAAGAGCTTTCCTGTATACCCTGAATGTCCCTGGATTTGGTTTCCGACCAAAGATGCCAGTAATTGATGACTGCACAGGGCGTAAAAGAGACAAGACAAGACTCAGGCGCACACTAAATTCGCCATCACGTATCGAAGCGCTTGGCACGAATATATAAAATCTCCAAATATGTATTCTGCTGGCGGCTTTCGGTCTGACCCAGCGACCACACCTGAAAATTACTTCGGTACTTAGTTCGTTCTGCACCTAATGCTTCCGTGTGTGTTTCGACTTACGAAACAGGTGGGAATGACCCGTCTTTGAAGAAGTAAATCTGATTGTAACAAGCAGATGGAGGGTAGAAGGAAAACCTGGAAAGCACGAGGAGAGCCTCCTCGCTGGCCACAGCACTCCCTTCTGAAAGCTTGTCTTTGCAGAGCGGACAGTGAGGAGCCTGGGCAGGGCAGCGCTCCAGGCACAACGGATGTCCGCATGTCCGCAAGGGGTAGTGACGTTCACAGAGCAACCTGGAGAGAAGATCGTGAGTTCTCAGAGAGGTAGATCCAGAACGGACTTTCGAATGAGCTCCCTGTTTGAAAAGGATGCCTTATGCAGTTTCCACTCAACCCTGAAAGCCACTTATGGTCGCTCCTCTTTTGGATCTTCACTGAATTTTTAGAAAACAAATCAATTATTATTATTTATATATTATGCTGGCTACTTTTATGCTAATTTGACACCTCTATCGGCATTTGAGAGGCGGGAACCCCAGCTGAGAAAATCATCCATTCGGATCAAGCCGGTAGGGCATTTTCTCAAGCAGTGGTTATTGTGTTAGCCCCAGCCCAAGTGGGTGGAGCCATCCCTGGGCTGGCAGTCCTGGGTTCTATAAGAAAGCAGGCTGAGCAAGTCATGGGGAGCAAGCCAGTGAGCAGCCCCCTCCATGGCCTCTGCATCAGCTCCTGCCTCCAGCTTCCTGCCCTGACTTCCTTCAGTGACTGACTATGAATGCAGACGTGTAGGCTGAATAAAACCATTTTCTTCACAACTTGCTTTTGGTCCCAGTGTTTTATCACAGCTATAGTAATTCAAATTAAGACACACACATTTAATACAGATATATATGGTTTTATGTGTGTATGTGTGTGTGTGTGTGTGTGTGTGTGTGTTCACCAGTGGTGCCATGCATGTAGTTACAGAGTTCAGAAAGGCTTGCTTGTTAAAAGAGCAGCATGTAATCCAGGCCAGCCTACCTCATGCACAGAGCACACTCAAAGTCAGCCTTGTCAATCATGAACTCTGGCTCCTTGGGAGAGCTCATGCTCCTCTGGGCGGAGGACTCTGCATCTGAAAAGGTTTTCAAATGTTATAACTAACACCTAAACTTCTGAGAGACACCAAACATTGAATTTATCACTTTAGACTAACATGTGCCAATATCACCACTGACAAAGGATTCGGGGGCGGGGGAGGAGTCTTATCCAGTGAGGATAAAGCAAGAATTTATCAAGTTGGTACAACTGAAAAAAACTAAAATTTCATCTAAGTGCTCTCTTTTTTTTTTTTTTTCACTATAAAGTCCCTGCAATATTAACTCTAGAAAACCAGCTGGTATAATCATTTCTTCATGGATTTTACTTGTGTAATGGGCTTTTTAAAGTGAGTTGAGTACTGGCTAATACTTTACCCTTCAACGTCAGAATACCACAGCAAGGAAGGGCTTGCTGACCTTTCTTGGGATCTTTTTCAGGGGTGTCCACATCACACTCATCTTCACTTGGAAGCTGCCTCTTTACCATGCTCGGTGCTGCTGGGATGACACTCTCCAAGGCCCTTGCATTCTCCTCCCAGTGGAGGCCCAGGATAAAATATAAAACTGAAGAACTGGCGTTCCTCGGCACGTCCGACTTCTCAGACAGAGTCTGTTTAAGTAGGAAAGGGGAGTCCTGAGAACCAAGAACCACGGGATACGAGGAGCCAAACCCAACCCAGCTCAACCATGCAGCAGCCTTCGTAGAAAGCCGGGATGGGGGCGGTGGCGATGGCTCCTGGGGTAAAGTGCTGGCTGTGCCAGCGAGAGGCCTGGGGTTTGGATCCTCAGCACCTGTTTCTGTAAAACCTGGGTGTGGCAGAGCTGCAACTTCAGTGTGAGGGAGACAGCCAGGCCACCTGCCACAGCTGCTCCAGGACCAGTGAGAGATCCTGTCACAAAAAACTAAGTGGAGCAACGGAAGACCACACTCAGGCTTTACCCCCGAAGGGGCCATGCTCTTCAGCATGACTGACTCTATCAGGCAATCAGAAGTGCTTCCTGCTTTGCACAGTAAAACACAGGGTAACTTCTTTCTGAGAACTGCGGCCTTTATATCTGTAGCATACACATCAACGTATAAATTATATATCATATATTTGGACCAGTCTCTGCTTTTGTTTCTCTAAGACAAAACAATATCGGGTCTCCAGAGGTTGTGGAGATTTTGCACAGTGTGTGGGGACATGTGGAGGCCCTCCAGAGTTTCCATCTGCACTGTTCCATTAGTCCCACTGACTTCACTCATAAGTGTTAACTATGGTTGACATTTAGCCCATATGACGCCATGATGCCCAAGGAACTGCTGACACAGTAAAGCCAGACATGTGCCGTCCATACCTTGGGGCCGCCTGCATTAGCGTGACCACCCGATCCTTCCAGAGGCTCATGGCGACTCCTCTGGCCTTCGAAGTGGGCTTTGGCCAGCTCTGGGTGGACGATGCAGAGGTCTGGTGCCACTGTCGGAAGCTGGAAAGAACAGCTCACACGGCACCTATAAAATTTTCAGAAAGACAGAGCACATGGTAAAACGCTCTGGAGGAAAACATCTGTGGTAAGTGTTAAAGTTTTGGAGTCAACAGACGCCAACCAGGTCCCCCCAAAACTGAAAAACAATAGCCACATTCCAACTGCTCATCGTTTAAAGTTCAGACACTTTAAAAACCAGAGACAATGTGTTAAGAACTGTGGGTTCTAAGCCTCCCCACCTGCCTCACCAACGTGTTCTGTCTGGTTCCTACAGGCTGCATAAAACCCAAAAGAGTTGCAGGTGGGGGGGTGCACAGGCTGCAGGACCTCAGGTTAGACCCGAGGTGTGGTCACTTACAGGACTGAGGGTTTGCTGGAGGGCTGCTCTGTTTACGGGCCAGGAGCCGGGATTCCGGATTTATCCGCCGTGATAGGGGAAGTGGTACCAGCCAGGCATTCCCACTGCCGAACCATGCAGACTCAGCTGGATCTAAGGGCGGACGAGGAATTAAGAGACCTTAAAAACACAGACAATTTTTTTTTAATGAAAGTGTGGCAGTCAGTAACTGAAACAGCGACAGTGGCAGCCTCAGCTGGGATGTCAGCGTGGCTCTGCGTGGCTCAGCGTGGGGACAGCAGCACACTTCAGGCATACCTGCAGCCTAGTGTCACTTCTGTGGTAAAACATGTCCGTCAGCTACAGAATGCTGGAGGGGAGAAACACATCTTCAGTGGTCCCAGGATGGACAAGAATTCACAAAACCCCGAGACCTCAGCGCCCGTGCTCCACTTGAGCTTGCTCCGACTCTCAGACAACAGTGGCCTGAGAGGAGACAGGCTTTCAGAGCAGGGGCCGCGTGGCCAGCATGATGAAGGAGCTAAGCTGAGACTCAGCGTCACCACCCAGACAAACCGCCGCAGAGGTGGCAAACGCCAGCTCAGGATCAGCAGATTGCAGCCAACGGCCCAAGAGAAAACATTGACTTCCCAGGAAACTCCTCTGTTTTAGACAAAGCATGCGTGTTTATTTTAGCTGACTACATTTCCAGCAGGGGCGGGCAGTGTGAGCTTGCGGGCAAACAGCAAGGCATTTCCTGGGGTGGACACAGGGAGGTAGACTTCCACACGTGGCCGCCAGATGGAGAAAGTGTCTAGAGGGAAAACCTACACACCCTTTTCTGTGAGAAAATGATGTTTCCCTGAAAGAAAGCTGTTCTTTTTTTTTTTTAATTTTCTTTTTTTTCACATTTTATTCATTATATATCCAGATTGAAGCCCCCTCCCTCAACTCCCCCGAGTCCTACTCTCCCTCCCTCTCCCCCCTCATCCCCTTCCCCTAGTCCACTGAAATGGGGAGTTCTCCATTATTGCCATCTGTGCAGAGCTTTTAAAGTTAAGTCTCATCAGGACTGCCTGGATCCTCTTCCTCTGTGGCCTGGCAAGGCTGCACAGCCAGGGGCAAGTGGTCAGAGAGCAGTCAACTGAGTTCATGATAGAGGCAGCCCCTGCTCCCCTCACTCTGAGATCCACATGGAGACTGAGCTGCCAATCGGCCACATCTGAGCAGGGGGCCTAGGTCCCCTCCATGCATGGTCCTCAGTTGCTGCATCAGTCTCTGCAGGACCCCTGGGCTCAGATCCTTTAGCTTTGTTGGTTGGTCTCCTTGTGGAGCTCCTGTCCCCTTCATGTCCCTCTTTCCCCATCCCCCTCTTCTTCCATAAGACTCCCTGGGCTCTGCCCAAAGTTTGGCCATGAGTCTCAGCATCTGCTTGTTCTTAAATATCTAAAGTGGTTTCACACAGCTGTAAGAAGGAAGAACTGACTTGTGTTCTACTGCGCCACAAAATAAAATGTACTGATGAGCAGAAACTATAACATTGACATACTGATAGCTGCCGAAGTTAAACTGTGTTAACACGGGAAACACTGACAACATGGACCAAAAACTCCCAGTTTCTGGAAACACGACGTGAGGACGAGGCACTGTCGAGGCGTGAGTTCCTGAATTAGGCATGATGCAATGGTCTATTTCTGCAGCACTCGAGGGGAAGTTTCCTGCATTCCAGTCTGCAGAGCCCAGCTGTACATGCTGCACGTCACGGTGCCCCTTACTGGGCCCCCCACAAGCTCTAGCACCAATGCTGTCTCCTTGTGCCGCAACCAGGCCTCATGCACCAATCTCCCCTCACAATAGGGGTGTGTGTGCACCATCTCGCCAGACGTTCTGCTGCGTGCTTAATTAGAAGTTACGGAATGTGGCATGTGTGAGTAGCATATCGCTAACGGTGCTGTCATGGCCATTTGAAATTACATGGGTTGCGTTTACAGGCAAGGATGCCCAGCATGGCACAAAGCTGCACGTAATCCCCGAGGGAGGAAGTCTGTGAGAGCCCATACCTTCTGGGTTTCTTTCTTCACGGAGTTACACCCGGGATTTAAAGCAAGGCAGTAGATGGATTCTCCTAACACTTCTGTACTTTTTCCCAATCTGGAGAGGATCTGAGCTTCTATATGGTGACCCTGGATTCACCCAAAGACAGAGAATGCACTGTCAAACACAGCAAGATTATACACAACCGCTCTGGAAAAGGTGTGAGGACAATTTGAGTAGGTGTGTGTGTCTGTGTGTGTACACTGTATCTTCCCACTCAACAAGCGTCATCATTTAATGAATACAGCTACATCTGGAATTCAGGAATCACTGCAACTGATTATTTGTGCCCAGAGAAGTTCTAAGGGACACGCTGAGAAAAAAAATGAAATCTATCAACCTGAATTTATTGCTTATATTTATGAAATGCATATAACTTAGCAAAACTTTTGAATACCTAAAGCAATCTGGAACAGAAGATCAAAGCCAGGCACACACCATCTGCATTCAAAATATGAATTATGACAAGTAAAACAGTTATAATCACACATGCTAGCATGGGTACGTGTGTGTGCCACAGCTGTGGGTGCCCACAGAGGCCAGACGGGGTTGGGAATAAAGAGATGGCGCATCTTTCTGGTGTTTATTTGACATTCTCAGATCCTTTTTAGTCAAGTGCTTGCTGGAATTCCTTAATCAGGTAACTGGTTGTGTGAATTACTGCAGGTTGGGAAGATCCCTTCACATGTGCTGAGCACAGCTCCCCCTTACCATACAGTCTTAAATGTTCCTAATTTGTGTTTACCTTTTCATCTCTGCATCAGTATCTTTTGAAGATCAGGAGTTTCGAAGTTTGGTGAAGACCTACCTACTCAGCAAATTCTTGTTCTTATGGTGTGTGCTTTCTGGTCCCATTTGTTGAGTGTCGATCTTATATTTATTTCCTTTTGTTCACTTTGGTCTTATGTAAGATTTGTATTTGTTTATGTGTTTGGGTGTGTATGCCACGTATGTGAAGGCTTCTGCAGAGGAGGGAGCAGGATGTTGGATGCCATGGAGCTAGAGATGGGGGCAGCTGGGAGCCACCCACTGTGGCCATACTCAACCCTTCTGGAGGAGCAGTAAGTGTTCTTGGCTGCTGAGCCTTCAGCCCTCCAGACCCTCATCTTGGTTCTAGTTTGCTCTTCTTCCTCTAGCTTCATAAGATAAGAGACTAGATTTTGAGACTTTTGTCCTTTAACAGGAGAGGATAATAATATAAATGTCTCTCTAAGAATGGCTTTAACTACATGTAAGAAATTAAATGTATAATGTATCTCATCATTAATTTTAAATTATTACTGATTTGGGACCTTTGTCCTTTAATAGAAGATGATAATAATATAAATTTTCCTCAAGAATGGCTTTAACTACATCTAAAAACTAAATGTATAATGTATTTTATTAGTAATTTTAAATGTTTGATAGGTCCTTTTAGATTTCTTCTCTGTCCAAAAGGTTGTTTAAGGAATAAGGTGTAGATACAAAAGGGTTTCTTGGGTTTGTGTTGCTCTTGTCAACGTCTAGCTTTAACTGTGTTGAAAGAACCTTTGTTTGAGGATTTTAGCATTTCGAATCTAGATACTGTTTTATGCACTCTGAATCCAACAGGAATTTAAAAAGATGCAGATGCTATAGTTAAATGCACTGTCCACAAGGGCCAGTTAGGTTGCCTCTGTCTCTCAGATACTCCTTAGGTCTCTACCTTACTCTTTGACACTAATACGACCATTTAATTTTTGTATATTTTGTGCTTTCATAGTATGTTTTTACAGCCATCGAAATCTCCCTGTGCCTTCACATCTAACGGGAATTTCTAGCAGATTCCACAGTGTGGGTCTTGCTGTGCGGACATGCTGCTATTTCTCTTGCTGTGCGGACATGCTGCTGTTTCTCTCCCCACTCTGAATACGTTGTTCCCAAGCAGCCGGCCTCTCTCATTTCTCAAGAGATGTCAACATCCCCTTGCTGCTTCCCAGAACACCGTGTTTTCTTACTGCATTCCAGGCTGTCTTCACAACTCTGGCTTAAACAGCAGCCTGATTGTGATTTGAGTTTATTTTGCATGGTTTCTTGTTCATCTTGAGAATCTGAAATTATTTCCCACTAAATTTGAAAGCCACTATCTTTTCAGCTTTTTTCTCCCTCTGTTTTCTCTCTTTCCCTCCAGTGGTTCCAACTGAACTTAAGTTATACCATTTCACAATCCCATACAATTTCTTTTTCCCTTCTGTTCTGATAATGGAACGGGCTTTTCACTCTCTCTGTAACTGTCCTGTAACTATCCTCTGTTTCACCTTCTGTGTACGAAGTGCTATTCACTTCTTTGCCAACTTTAGTCTAGTCACTTATGACTGTCATTTTAAGGTCAGCTGAATTTGCTGTTATTCAAAAGGTATCATATTTTTCTTCAATTCTTTGGATTTAATTTTATGTAACTTTTGACCGTATTTATACAGGACGAACATTTCTAACCCAGAACTCTGAAACTAGAACTGTACCAAAATGCAAAGCATTTCCGGCACGAGCCTGATGTCACAAGTAGAAAGTCCCGTGCCATAAAGCTTTCTTATATCCAGAAATTTGGAAAAAATACTGTATTATGCTGTATGAAATTTTAAATTACTTTTGTAAGTTGTATATAAAGCAGAAAGCATGGGCTTATAGTTGTTTCTTCCTTATGACATATAATATAACCATACTCAAAATATGAAAGTATCCAAAATCCCACACACCTCTGCTCCCAGGCAACTTGAATAAGCATTTTGAGACTGTGCTGATTGCAAACTACTGAGCTAAATATAGTAGGTACCAAGAGTAAAGCACATCACTGTTTAAGAGCTATCTGAATCCACGAATAAATGGATGTGGCCTTTTAATTAGATTTAGCATGAGGTAATTGCTAGGCTTAGACAACTATAAAACAGAGAAAACACACGCTACCTGCTATTTGCAGGTCCTGATCACAGTTGCACTAACTTACGAATGTAAACACCATGACCCAGGGCTGGGGAGATGTCTCAGTGCTGCAAAGCATTCACCACACAGCTTGAGGACCTGAGTTCTAACCCTGGTCACCCATGTGATAGCAGCTGGGAGGGTGACATCCTAGGAGGCAGAGACAGGAGGACCCCAGGGGTTCACTGACCAGCCAGTCTACCTAATGGATGGGTGCCAGGCTCAGTGAGAGACCCTGGGTCAAAAATATGAGGTGGAGGATCAACTGAGGAAGACAGCCTAACCTTAAGCCTACAGGTTTAAGGTTGTGTGCCCACAGCGCGCGCGCGCACGCGCGCGCGCGCACACACACACACACACACACACACACACACACACACACACACACGAGCACTCACGCCATAACCTTAATCAGACAGATCATCACCAAAGCCAGGGGGCCTTGTCACCTTGGTCAGGATGGGGTCCCTCTGACAAATGGCATCGGCATCCCGAAGGGCTTGCTTGTAGTTCTTCATGGTTAAATACAGCTCTGCTCGCAGCAGCAATAATGAGCTGTCATCGGGGGCTGACAGACAGGAGAGAAACACACGACTGCATTTAAAAATACATTGTTTTTGGTCATTGAAAATATTGTTAGAAAATCAGCACAAAGGCAAGTATGAAACAGTGCCCCCCCCCCCCCCATGGTCAAAGGAAGGGCTCAAGTTAAATGAGCACAGTTTACAGAAAACAGAAACAACTTAGACTTCAGAATGCATCAAGTAAATAAATAAACAAATATAATATTGACTGTTCCTTTAACCACACTAACCCAGTCTCTAATAACGGATCAAGTACTTCCTTAAACTAATAATCCAAATCCGAAATACTTTCAAATCTGAGTTTCAGGCTTAGGGGTATTACAGACTTTGGATTTTTAAATTAGAGTCGGAAGATACTCAAATTAAAAAGGGAAGGAGAGCCTTTCAACAGTGAAATGCTTGTAGACTCAACTATTTTGGACCAGAGACGGCCACGCTACATAATTAGGCGTTCTTGAAAGGGACAGGTGAACGGCATTTCATGAGAAGCGCACCAAGAGACCCGGGCTTTAAAAACCAGTGGGAAGGGGTCAGCGTGGCTCCGTCAGCAAGCGCTTGCCACACAAGCGTGGAAGAGGCGGGTGCAGAGGAACACGCCTGCAGTCACGTCACTGGGCCGGTCACCCAGCCAAAGAGGACTCGCCTCAAAGCAAACTGGAGAGCAACGGCACCCCACCCCACCGTCTGTCCTCCACTCGCGCCTACTTGTACACACACAAACACCTATGTAAGGAAGGGCTGTACCAGGCCTGAGTGTGGCAACAAGGCTCTGGCAGGCCTTGCCCTCCCCATTCCCTCTGCCACCAAGGTCTCTTCCCTTACTTGGACTTCCTCCCCTGACCAGCAAGGTCCAGCTATCAGAGTACTGAAGCCCAGCATCGAAAGCCCCCTTTGGCTCACCTAACAAACGTGCCTAATCAAAATTAAACACCTCATCCTAACTCGGGGCTCCACCCTTTCCCTTTATAAGCTGCCATTTGCCTGTGGGCCACGCCTGTCTTCTCTCTATCCTGAGGCTGTCCTTTGTCACTCGGGGGCAAGTATCTTCCTCCCCTCCCTTGTTCCTTTTCTCTCATCCCTCTTCCTCCATCTCCTGCCTTTGTCTCTTATCTCTGCCCTTCGTCCCTCTGGGGCAGATAAGTCTCCTTGGGCTGAGAACTTGCTCTTGGGGTGTCTTGTGCAGACCTGGCTCCTTCTCATTTTCTGGCTTGTTCAGACTGCACCTCAGTTCTCTCTATGCAACTTGTCTATTACTGTCCTAGTAAAACTGCCTCCGCTGGCTCTTCATTGTCCTTTAAGTAGCTTCCCTTTAGTCTCTCTTCTTGTGAGAGTTGGGCGTATCCTACTCTGTCGACTCTTTCTCTGATTCATCACTGTTTCTGCCGCTCAGTTAAACATCACTTTCAAACACGGGTGCTTCCTTCTACAAACTAACTTTACCTCATTGTCTGGGATTAAAGGTGTGCTGGTACCACCACACAGGATACTTGCTCTATACCAGGCTGGCCTTGAACTCAGATCTGTTTGCCTCTGCCTCCTGGATTAAAAGGCGTGTGTGTATTCCAGTGGATCACATAGACCTAGAAGATCTTGCCAGAGCAGCCACGTTCTGAATTTATTTCTCTACATAAAAGTCTTTATTCTTTATCACGTTGACAGTCTGTTATGAACTGCTGTGTTAACTGCTCAGTTTCTTTCCTGATGCTACTTGTGTTTTGTGCTTTTCTTCATGTTTTCTTGTCCACTCCTGGCCTGGGTGGTGCCAGCTGACTGCTTGAGCAGTTCTGGTTCCCAGCAGAGTAAGTGTAGCAACTTGTGCAAAGCCAGCTACCCCGAAAACTTCATGACAAATTATACGGACGCTATAGGCAAGACCTGAGTGTGAAACCCACTTTCAGCACTCTTCACTAACCCTCTGCTTACACGAGCAATATGCTAGCGTAGTCTTGAACTTGACTGGGTTACAGACACCTTTCTGCTCTTTCAAATCAATTCATTCCTAACAAAACATTTAGGTTTACTCCTCATATCTCAAAGGCTACTTTTCCTGGAGGCCAGAATTAATGAGATTCACTTCTCACGTAGACATCATATGAATCAAACCATTTTCTAAGCGGTAAAACTTAAACTAATGAAACCGAGGGAAATCACCCATAAATCACTCAAAAATCAATGAGTGTGGAAAAGCAACTTTTAATTCTTTTGTGCTGAGAGAGCCTATAGCAGAAATTGTACGTGTGTACCTGCCCAGTAACTGACCCTCGTTGAGAAGGGTCAGGTCACTGTGAGGTGTCAGGAGGGCCTCCTGAGACGACCGGAAGAGTGTATGTTCTATATGTCCAGTTTATTGGAGATGATCCTCGGGCTGCCCAGAGTGACTGCTGCTCAGTGCTGTCAAACGTTGTGACCAGCCGAGAAGAGAACCGTGGCGTTTCACTTAACTGATGTCTACAGCAGTAAAACTTGGCGCTGAGCTCCCTGGGAACAGCAAATGTGAAGGCAAGGCTCCTTCAGGGCTGCTTACCAGGTCCACTTCCTAAGTGTGTATTTTGAACTTTTATTTGTGTAACCCTGCGATCATCACTGGGGCATTTTCAGGATGGAAAGAGGTTCCCCTGTGCGAGCTCCCACTTGACAGATCCCTGGTAAAAGTGGCCATTCGGACTGAGAATCCCTTTCGGTTATTTCAGACTTCCAAGGAATTTGCTGTTTACATTTTAAAATTTTTGTTTTCTAGTTGTTTTTCCTTAAGGATACAGTCATCAATAACCTTTCTATACAGACCTTACATTCAACAACCTTGATAATTAACTTGAAATTTCTGGTAGTTCCTCTGTGGCATGCTGATAAGGCAGCTTCAGGTAACGAGAGCTTTAGCTTTTCCAGTCCTGACACCTTGGTATCTTTTCCTCACTACACTGGCCAGCATCTCAGGTGTAACACTAGACAGCAAACATGACAGGGAGCCCTGCTGTCACTTCTTTCGTAGGAAGACCCCAGCTTTTACGTCAAGCCTGTGATGGCTCCATAGATTTTGTGGGCATTTCTTAACCAATTTTTAAAAATTCCTTTTCATTCTTCATTCTTGGTGATGTTTTTAAGATGGGTGACAATATTTCTTTCCCCCACCACCACCCTGTTTTGTTTTTTTTTTTTTTTTCTTTTCTTTCTGTAAACGTGTATGTGGGTTGGTATGCAAGGGTTAAACTTAGCCTCTACTTGAGATGCATTGTCCTCCAGGGTTTTTGTTTGGTTCAATGAGCCAATGTTTTGTTTGGATTTAGAAGCACTGAACTATGTTTCTGTTTTCCATTAATTTCTGTTCTTAACTTCTTCCCGAATCTTCCTATATTCTTTGGATTCTTTTTGCTTTTTGTTTTCCAGCATCTTGGAACAGGAGCCAGGAGTTCACAGACTCATGGCTGACCTTGGTATAACAAGTATTTAATGCAAACGCTGGCTCCTAAGCATGGCTGAAGTGGCATCCAGTTGTTGGTACTTGTTTTTCTAACTAACTAACTAACTAACTAACTAACTAACTAACTAACTAGTTAGCTAACTAACTAACTACTAGTGAATGCAGAGATGGCCATGTTGCAGTACACATGTACATGCTGGGAAATAATTCCAGTAAGAACTGAGGCTCAAATGCAGATCGCCAGGCCCCTGCACAAGTGCTCTCTCTCCGCTGAGCCATCTCCCCAACCCAATATAACATCTCAGTACCACGCTGGTCAAATGTTCCCTTACTTTAGTTGTGAATTCTTGTCTGAGCCATTGGTAGCAGTGTGGCTGGAAGGTCCCCAAGCTGGCGTTCTGCTGTATCGTTAAGGAGTCTCAAGAGGTAGGGCTTCAGGAGAGCTTGGCTCTCATCAACGGGCTAATGAGGTTATCACCAGGGCACATAGCTACCGCCATCTGAGCAAGCTCTGTGCTCGCCACTGTGTCTCGCCATGTGCAAGGCCCTCTGCTACCACAGGGCAAGGACCTCAGCAGATGCTAGCTAGTGCTTTGACACTGTGTTCCTTGGTTCTTCACAGCAGTGTGAAATCAATGTCTTTCTTTATGAATTAGCCAGTTTGTGATATGCTGTCAGGAAACAGACTAAGATGTTATGATGAAAATACATTGCTTAGTTTCCAAATACTTGAAGATCGTGTACTTATCCGTTTGCTTAATTTCCCCTCAGGTTTAATGTTCAAATCACACAGTCTGTTTTATTTCAGTCTTTTAATGTTTGTTGCATTTGTCTTATAGTCTAACCCAGGACCTGGCCTACATAGCAACAGGCCCATGGTCCTGAGAATTTGAGCAGTGATATATTCTGGAGGTACTCTGTGCAGTAACACTACCAGAGAAAACCACCGGGGTGCCTTATTCCAACATGGAGTCTTGCCTACCTTTCTATCCATTTAATCTAGTACTAGGAGTTTTGCTGGAAGTCTCGCTTCCGGTCCGTTACCTTGTATTCAGGGTGTGTGCTCACACTCTTGTGAGGTGGACACTTGCTTTTTGCTTGTTGAACCAGATCCTAAGCACCTCCATCCCTCTCAGTACACTTGGCCTTTAATCTCTCTATTCTAATTTCGGCACATCGGGGCTCTTTTGCCAGTCTTTACAGCCACTTCTTACCAGTTGAACCTTCCTGCCTTTACATCACATTTTTCTCACATGTAAGCACCATGCAGCCGGGCTTCATCTACTCCAGTCTGTCAACGTTTTAACGGAATACTCAGATCCTTACATCAAACATAAATCCTCGATTCTCTGGGTATCTCATCTGTTCCCCGATTTTAAGGTTTTTATTAACTGTGTGTGTGAGCAGGGAGGGGACTGCCTCACTGTAGAACTCATGGACTTTGCACAGTTTGTTTTTTTTCCTTCTTGGTGCACATGGTCTCTGGGATGGAGCTCAGATCCCCAGGCTGGTCTCTTCAGCTGCTCCACCA